TTGTTCGTAAAATAAAATAATAGTAATAATAATAAATTTAATTTACACTACATGGCAGCAGATTACTTCTTAGAGACGTGGCACCAAAGCCATCTTTTCTGTCTGGCTCTTATGTAGTGTTTGTACAATTTTATGCTTCGTTTTGTTTTATTGATATGTTTATTGGCATCAGTTTATTTTCTGTAATATTTAATATCTAAAATAAAATAATGTATTGCTTGTCATGTTTTTTTAGTTTCTTTGCTGTGCACTAGTCTCTGCATTTAGATCATTCAGCAGGTGGTGCACTGGTGCCACAACACACTGACGGTGCTGCCTCGGGCTCTGCAGACACATACTATCGGGAGTCATGAGAAGCTGGGTGATGCTGCTCAGATCTCCAATAACCTGCTGTGAACACTACAAATTATTAACAGTTGGTGATCTTTGGACTTTTCACCTCTGTATTCTAACCTGTATGTACTTTTCTTAACCCCTTTGTCAAGAAAGGTGTGGTACAAATTACATTTAATGTAGATATTGTTGCCATCATTCACTTTGCACAGCTGCAGATTTAACGACAAGCAGGTTTCATATCACACAAATAACAAAGTGTATTTACACAACAGGCTGGTTTGATAAACAAGGGACACTTAGTTACAACAAAGAGGCACAAAATGATTACAAAGAGACGCAAAATCATGACAAATACTAATAATGACCACAAAAAAACACACAACGACCACAAAGTGACCGCAAAACTACAAAAAATTGACAACAAAGAGATGCAAATTAACAACAGAAACACAAAATGATGACAAAGAGATGCAAAATGATGACAAAAACAAAAATTTAACACAAAAAGACACAAAACCCCCACAAAAGTATCACAAAGAGGCGCGACCACAGATGTATGTGACCAGCAGCACGTAAAGGGTTACACTGTGAAGTAGGCGGAGGATCTGGTATGTGTGTGTTTGTGTGTTCACAGTAAGTTTCACCTCCTGTGTCCAGAGAACAGCTCATGTTAGAGTTTGAACTGTGTTGAAGAGATAAGACGCCTTTCCTCGCGGAAGCAGCAGAGTTTCAGTTTATGTTTCTGACAGCAGATATTATAAATTTGTCTTTTTAAATAATAACCTCATCTAAACATGCCAGTGCAGACACGGAAAAACAGGAGAGGACGTTATGAACGTTATGTCAACGGTCGACACTTAAACCTGGATGATTTGAAACAGGAAGCTCAACATTTGGGAAACCAGTACCTCTCCAAGGAAAACATCCCAGAATACCCCCATCCGGAGTTCCATGTGGCTCATCTGAAACACGACACAGATCAATGGGGGTTACGTGGCATCAGGAGGGACGAAGGCTTCAGGTTTCCACACAACAGCTCCAGGGATCCACACAGAGGCATCCTGCTGTGGTGGAGTCTGGCTGTGAGCCCTGACGAGGTGAAGGCAGCTGAGACGAGGCTCCTACAGCAGAAATTCTCCAACCTTACAGAGGATCAGGCCGCCATGCATCCCAACTTCCTCTATAAGTTTACCACCTCTCCAGCCTTCTCAGAGAAGTCCAGGCTGGGCTCGTACCGCTTCACCTTCCCCCTGGAGGAGGTGCTGGAGGCCTACCGCCTGCAGGTAGGAACTCTGGAAAAATTACATCCAATCTATCTACATGGTCACTTTCACAACAAAAGAGAATACTTTAAAATGCACAAGTCATGAATGTGTTTTTGTTTTCTTGCATGTGGCTGAAATAAACATTATCTTCTGTAGTGCAGCACAGAAAAAAATGAAACTGACAAATGAATAAATTATTTTCTTAGTTGACAACAAAAAGATACAGAATGACCACAAAGAGATACAAATAAACAACAAACAGGCTAAATCACAACAAGACACAAATGTCATCCGTCGTGTGATGAGTGCTAATCTGCCATCAGTGATGATAATCTATGTTGTTGTTGGTACATTTACAGAGACTCTGATGAATGAGTTCTTCTTGTACAGTGAGGTCAGAGTCCTCCAGTAAAACATCTGTTATTGTTTCAGTTTTGTTCTGGGGATCAGCCGGTCATGCGGGTGTACGAAACTGTCCTGTACAAACAGGAAGTGCAGCACACTGTGTTGGTCCACAGTCCAGCCAATCAGGAGCTCTTCTCCAAGTATCCTCTGCTGACTGACGACCCGAACGCCGTCTGTGTTTACAAAGATGGCCGCTTCATCTGGAGGCCGTACGCCATAAGTGAGACACACGGGTAAGACCTACAAACAGATAAATGTAATGGGCTTTTTGAAATTGTACTCACTGTTTTAATATGTTGTCACTTTTTGAAAAAAAGTTGTCCCTCTGTAACAAACATAGCTTCTATGTAAAAATGTCCTAACTTCATATATATATTTTAAATGTCTTCATTTTTTGAAAATGTCCCATTTGTGAAGTAGACTTGAAAAAATTTTAAAAAGAAAAGAAAAATACTTTTATTTGGAAAAATTTAATTTTCTTGAAAATGTGACCTCTTTTTGGAAAATGTATTCACTGTGTGAAAGTTGCCTCATTTTTTGAAACAGATCTTCACATGTGAAAATATCCTTCCTTCTTTAAAGGTGTTTCCAAAAATATACTCACTTTTTCAAAAATGTCTTCAGTTTTTGGATATAGCATTACTTTTTGAAGATGTTATCAATTTGTGCAAATATAGTTATTAACTGAAAAATGTCCTCTTTTTTAAAAAAAAATAAAAAATGTCCCCACTTTTCAAAATACAATCTTTTTGAAAATATTATATATTTTAAAAATATCCCTTTTTGTTTCCTTATACTTTTGTGTGAATATGACCTAACTTTTCTGAAAAACCCAAACCAGCTCTCCAGAAATGTTCTCACTTTGGGAAATTCTTGTCACTTTTTGAAAAATGTCCAATTTTTTTTTGAAAATGTTCTCACTTGTGAAAACAAAACAAAGCTACTAGAAAATTCCTCACTTTTCAAAAGCATTTTTTTTTTCAGATTTTTAAAATGCCATCACTTTTTGAAGTCTCTACACATTCTGAAAAATGTCCTCACACAGACACAGACTGAGGACGATGTGTTTGAGGATCATAGAAACATCTTGTCACCTTCAGCTGTAGGACGAAGCGCTGTGAGGTGTCATGAAGCAGTTTGAAGTCTTCTGTGAGTTGTGGAGTTGATCATTGTTGCTTTTCCATCAGGTGTAAGCTGATCTGCAGACCTGAAAAAAACCAAATGGACGTTCAGATGTCTTTGACAATGTTTTATATTTGGGATAACGTCGCCATCGCCCCGCATGTGGACAAACAGGTATCTTCACTGCTTATTCTCTGTAGAAAGCTGCAGCCTCTAATGTTAAAGAAGGAAACTGATAAACTGTTTCCTCCAACATCATATCATTAGATTATTAATGATGCATTAACAAAATTAAGGATTTTACTGTTGCAGGTTGTCATTTATTATTATGGGTTATTCTGCTGATTGATGTTTTGACCTGCACATTTCAGGAAATTAAGAGATATCTTTGTGAGTCCAGCACCTCAACCAAACCAAACCAAAGCCTAAAATGTATAAACAATTAGAAAAAGTCTTCACTTTTCCAGAAGTGGGTCGTTCCAACCTTCTTTTTTTTTCCCTCACTGTCTGACATTAAATCAGACTAAACTTTTCCTGTTTTAGGTCAGTTAGGATTAACAACATTATTTATATTTGCTGAACACCAGAATAATGAGAGAGAGAATTTTAAAAATGTATTGCTTTCTTCAAAGTCAGAAGTTTACATCCACTAAAATTAGTATGACGTCAGACTATTTGGGAAAACCCAGATGATGATGTCATGGCTTTGGAAGCTTTTGATAGGTTAATTGACAACATTTGAGTTAACTGGAGGCACACCTGTGGATGTATTTTAAGGCACATCTCAAACACACTGCTTCCTTTTGTAACAACATGGAAAATCTAAAGACATCAGCCAAGATATCAGGAAGAGAACTGTGGACCTCCACAGGTCTGGTTCATCCTTGGGTACAGTTTCCAGATGCCTGAAGGTTCCCCGTTCATCCCTTCAAACAATTATACGCAAGTATAAACACCATGGGAATGTCCAGCCATCAAAAGGAAGAAGCTTGAAGCCTGAGAACACCATCCCAACTGTGAAGCACGGGGGTGGCAGCATCATGTTGTGGGGCTGTTCTGCTGCAAGAGGGACTGGTGCACTTCACAAAATAGATGGAATCATGAGGAAAGAACATTATGTGGAAATATTGAAGCAACATCTCAAGACATCAGCCAGGAAGTTAAAGCTTGGGCACTAATGGGTCTTCAGATGGACAATGACCCTAAACATACCACCAGATGAGTTACAGAGAGGCTTCAGGACAACAAAGTTCATGTTCTGGAGTGGCCATCACAAAGCCCTGATCTCAGTCCTGGAGATCATTAGTGGATCAAGGAGACCAACAAACCTGACTCAGTTCCAGCAGTTCTGTCAGGAGGAATGGGCCAGAACTCATCAAACTATTGTGAGAAGCTTGTGGAAGGAAACCCAGAACGTTTGACCAAAGTCATACAGTTTAAAGGCAACGTTACCAGATACTGAGGAGATGGATGTAAAGTTCTGAATTTGAAGAAAGTAATAAAAAAATTCTCTAAAAAGGCAGGGGACACCCTGGACAGGTAACCAGTCTATCACAGGGCTACACTTAGAGACAGACAACCAAGCACACTCACATTCACACCTACGGACAATTTAGAATCACCAATCCTCAACATGTTTTTGGACTGTGGGAGGTGTCCCTGTGTTTTTCCTGTTGCAGAGGCTGAGTATGCCTCTGCAACTCATACACTTTTTTGATTATTTGTTTTCTTTTTAAATTTGCTTTGTGTAATAAAACAAAAAAAGGTGTTAGTATTATTAAAACTGAAGCTCATTTGAGAAGCTGGAATCATGAACTGTTCAGTATCTTTGTATGAAGACCAAATTTTAGATACATCTGAGTCATTTTTCATAAAGATGAAAAATGTTGCTTGTTTTGTTTTGTTCTTTTGCAGGTGCTGGATTTTGATGCTGATCAACTGAGAAAGAACCTCAAGTTCTGCGATCCAGGCGAAGTACCAATCGGGACTTTCGAAAGTTTGGAGGACGCTGAAAACCAGGTTAAGAGTTTGTGGCCGGACTGTGACTCCCCACTGGAGAAGGAGTGTTCACTAGAGCAGCGTTTCATGGGTATTACAGCAGCTTTCCTTTGATCGGGTGCATTAAACATAATCCTGTTCACTGTATAAACCTCTGTTTACCAAAAAACACAAAAATCTTGTAAGCTTTGAACATTATTTACAGTAATTTGAGACAGGTTTTTAAACCTATTGGAGAATATTTCAATAATTTTGGGAAACATTTGAGCCATTTTGAACAAATTTTCAGTCATTATGTACAAAAATATATGTTGGGTCAGTATGGGCAATTTGTGATCAGTTTTGGACAGCTGAAGTGATTTTATACAAATTTTGAGTCATTCAGGACGTAATTTTATTGGACAGGTTTCAGGTTATTCAGAAAAAAATATCTGAATCAATTTGGAATGTTATTAGTCTTTGGACACGTTTTGAATATTTGTTTTGAGTCATATTGGACTAATTTTAGGTCATTTTGGACACATTTTGAGTCATTTTAGACCATTTTTTAAAGTTATTTTGAACAAAGCTTTTGCTGTTTTAACAAATTTGTTTTTTTTTTTTTTTAGAGTACATTTGAGGAACAAATTTTTAGTAATTTTGGACACATTTTGAGTCATTTTAGACCATTTTTTAAAGTTATTTTGAACAAAGCTTTTGCTGTTTTAACAAATTTGTTTTTTTTTTTTTTTAGAGTACATTTGAGGAACAAATTTTTAGTAATTTTGGACACATTTTGAGTCATTCTGAGTTTGATCATTGTTGAGTTGTTTTGGACAAGTTTTTTTCCATTTCAGACAGTTTTCAAGTTGTTTTGGAAAAAACTATTAAGTCACTCTGGAAAAACCAAGTAATTTGGAGCAATCTTTGAGTCATTTAAGTCAAGTTTTCAGTCATACTGGACAAATGTTCAATCATTTTAAACTAATTGTGACTCTGTACAATATATTTGATCATTTTGGACTTGTTTTTAGTCATGACAACTTTTGAGTCAGTTTGAAAATAGTATTTGACTCATTGAATTTTGAGTCACGTTATACGTTTGAAGTCATTTCAGACAAGTGTTGATTCCTTTTGCACAAGGTTTTGTCATGCTTCATGTCTTTTGGAGTGAAAATAGAGTCGTTTTGGATTTAAATAATTTTGCACACTTATTAGTCATTCTGGACATTTTGAGCTTCTCATCAAGAACCAGTAGAAACATTACTAGGACATACAGCAACTAAAATTAAATGATCCCTAACATCTTCAGTTTTTCTTTTAACAGCATGACAGTATTTGATGTTGTGTGTCTCTGTGTTCTGGTGCCAGACCTCAGACTGGTTCTTGTTGGGAGGACTGGATCAGGGAAGAGCTCCAGTGGGAACATCATACTGGGAAGAGATGCCTTCAGTGCTGGTGGTGCTGCTGCAGGTAACACTGGATGTTTACTCCATGTGGAGCCACCTTTTTTTCCAATGTTGGTAACACTTTTGTGTGCTTGGAAAAATGTTGTTGATTCCACATTTCATAGAAATTAAACTTTGAAGTTGTATTATTTATGGTTTATGGCATTCTGACTGTGTCATTCTGCACAGAAGACATTTCTGAGTTCTTCATGGTTGTTCTGTTTTCATAGAGGTGCAGGACTTAATATTGCAGTGATAAATGAACCCACAGGGAGACAGAATGTGTGAGAAACAAAACAAAACAACAAAAAAAAGCCCCACCAGAAACTGCTTGGAGTTCAGAGGGATAAAGAATATTATATTTAATGCTACATGAAAACTGTGTTTCTTCTCCTCAGAGAACACTCAGTGCTGTCTGCAGACAAAGAAGGTGTTCAACTGGGAGGTGACCATCGTCGACACTCCTGGACTCTCAGAAACAATGGAAAGACAGTCGGAGATCTTAAAATGCATCGACATGTTGGCCTCGGGGCCCCACGCCTTCCTGCTGGTCATCAAAGTGGGAACCCTCACCGATGAAGAACAAGACACCGTGAGGCAGATGGAGGAGATCTTTGGAAAGAACGTCTGGAGGCACACCATCGTAGTCCTCACCCACGACGACCAGCCGGAGACAGATGTTCAGATTCTGGATAGAACCAAAACTGAGCTGAAGAAGATTCTGCCCTGTCGTGTGGAAGACAGATGCTACGTCCTCAACAACAAACAGCAGGTCTGGGATCTGCTGGACAAGGTGGCTGCTGAAAACAACGTTTACTCTGTCAAGGACAGAGTCATCCGGGGTAAGATCACAAGAAAATTGTCAAGTTTCGTTAATTTAGAAAGTTTCAAAGTCATATTGGATGAATTGTGAATAAAAGATTCTTTCAATCATTTTGGACGAGGCTTCGGTCATGTAGGGATCTTTGGAGTCATTCTGAACAGATTTTTTGTCCGTTCAGGGCTTACCTCGATGTACAATTTTTTCCTTATTTCCCTGAATTTTTACAACATAAATAACAATAGGAAATACAGCCAATGGCAATGAACTTCAATGATCCTTTAAAAAGTGTAGCTTCAAATGGCTGAATGGATGTTGTGTGTCTCTGTGTTCCAGTGCCAGACCTCAGACTGGTTCTTGTTGGGAGGACTGGATCAGGAAAGAGCTCCAGTGGAAACATCATACTGAGAAAAGATGCCTTCATTACTTGTCGTGCTGCTGCCAGTCCATCCTCAGGTAACACAGGATAAATCTGAATCTGCTGTATCATCTTTGGTAAATACTACCAATGATAATTGGTAATATTGGCTGTTGACAACCTGCAAGCCAGTTCAAGTGAGTGCAGCCTGTGGCTCTAGCCGAAGGTGTTGCTTCTATCTAAGATAATGAGGATTGTGGTATTACCTTCAGAGGAAGGTCGACCAGTAACGAAGTCCACAGCGATGTGGGATCAGGGGCAGTGTGGTAAAGGAAGAAGTCATAGAAGGCTGGAAGAAGCTCATTGTGAAGCTTTGCTGCAGGAAAGGATGAGACGATCACCAGAATCACTGACGAAGGAGGCCGAGGGTTCTGTGAAACCCACGATAGCAGATCACCTTAGAGGAATGCCCCCACTGGAACCCTGAAGACCTGGAAGACTTTTCATGGAGTGGATGTCTCTGAGACCACCTGCTGATCTCCCTCCTGGCTGCGCCGACCACACGGGAGGAGGAGGTTTTTACCATAGAGACTTCCTCATGGGGAGTGAATTGGCAAGCAGGCCTTGGGTGTTATGTTCCCGGAACCGGGGCGGTAGGTGAAGGTGAAATTAAACTGTCCCAGGAACAAAGTTCACCAAGCTGTTTGTAGATATCAAAGATTTTGTGGTCGGTCCAGGTCACAGAGACGTGTTGAGCCCTCCAGCTAGAACCTCCATTCCTGGACCACAGCTAGCAGTTCTATCCTCAATGCTGTAGTTCCTCACTGCAGGGGACAACCAGCAAGAAAAGAAGACGCAGCTCATGATCAACAAAACAGTGTTGAGAAAGGACAACCCTGATTCCACTGTCGGTGGCATCAACCATGAACTGTTTGGAGGGCTCTGGGTGGTAAAGCAAGTCCACAGTGAGGAAAAGTGAGACAGGTGCAAAAAAGCTTAGAAACTGCTTGGAGTTCAGAGGGTTAAAGAAGACAATATTTAAATTTTGCATGAAAACTGTGTTTCTTCTCTTCAGGGAACGCTCAGTGCTGTCTGCAGACAAAGAAGGTGTTTAAATAGGAGGTGACCATCGTCGACACTCCTGGACTCTCAGAAACACCTGAAGTCAAGACGGAGATCAGGAGATGCGTCGACATGTTGGCCCCAGGGCCCCACGCCTTCCTGCTGGTCATCAAGGTGGGAACCCTCATCGATGAAGAACGAGACACCGTGAGGCAGATGGAGGAGATCTTTGGAAAGGATGTCTGGTGGCATACCTTCGTAGTCCTCACCCACAACGACCAGCCAGAGACAGATGTGGAGCTTCAGGTGATTCTAGCTAAAGACAAGCTGAAGAAGATTCTGCCCCAGAGAGTAGAAGACAGATACTACGACCTGAACATCAACCCCAACTCCAGCAAGAAGAACCGTTCCGCTCATTTGCTGAACAAGGTGGAAAAGATGGTTGTTGCAAACAGAGGGAAGTTCTACTCTGTCCAGGACAGAGCCAGAAAAAGGAAGATCACAGATGTTGATGGTGCGATTATAGAGTGAAGGAAAAATCTGTTGTTATGAACTGATTTATTCCACTGATCGAGTATTTTTCTTAATCAGAAGCTTTATTATAGTTTTTGCAAAAGTAATGTTTTTAGTGACTTAATGTTTTAACTGTACATGTCGCAATAACAGACTGAGGAGCTCTGTGGCACCAAACGCCTTCTACCTCCACAGAGGAGTCGAACCCATTTTTAAATACCAGATTAGCTGCAGAGTTAGCGGTTCTGATAGCAAGAAGAACGTGATGTTGCAAGTTCTTTGGCGCCAGAAACAATCTGGGAAAGTCCTGCAAAGTTTTACTAATGGTTTCAATGGGAAGTTTTCTTTTAGTTCCCAGGATGATGTTCTTCTTCTCTTTAAAGGTCTGATAGCTAAAGATGTTCTGAAAATGTTTGAAAACGTTGTTGGACCATTAGGCTCTGAGGTTTAAGGTTCTTAGAACTGAATGCTGCGCTGAGAACGTTCTTCTTTTGTTATCATGTCAATGTTTGTTGTGGGAATGTTTCATAGATTTTGAGGATGTGTTCCCTCAACAGCATTTCCAAAATATCCTCAGAACATTGCAGCTAGAATGTTCCACCTTTATTAATATATTGCAGCACAGGAACATCTTATAAAGGACGTTCCATCATCTGACATCTTGGACGTCTTGCATTGAGAACATCCTTCTGTTGTTGTCATTGTGGAAACACTTTGCAGAAGAACGTTTGATAACGTGTTCCCTCACCAAAAAGCCCAAATGTTCTACATTTAAGGTATCACTTTGCAGCGATGTTCTAAAACATTCTGTATAAAAACATTCTCTCGTCATGGGCCTTGACAACATCTGGAAAACATTGTTGCAATGTTGGTTTGAGAACGTTCCGTCTTTGCTGTAGAAGAACGTGTAATGTGTTTCCTCAACAGCGTCTGATAAAGAACGTTCTGTCATCTGAGGTCTCGATAACATCTTGAAAACATTTTCAGAGTGTTGGTTTGAGAACATCCTTCCTTTGGCATCATGGAACATTGTGAAAATGTTTTATAGAACATTCTGTAAAGTGTTCCCTCAGCAAGAAGGCAAATGTTCAATCTTTAATGTATCACATTATAAAATCGTCATAAAAGGTTCTGTGTAAAAAAAAAAGAACACATTCTGTCATCCGAGGCCTTGATAACATCTGGAAAACATTTTCCAAATGTTGCATTGAGAATAACATCTCTGCTTCATTAATTTTTCTTGTCAGTGTGAATCCTCATCCTATTTAACTTGATGTCAGCTCATTTCTTCATTTGCAAGTGTTTGATTAACGGTTTGGTTTATTTTGGTGTTTTTTTGTACTTTGGAGGTCGACACTCTCATCACTACAGCATCAGTGTCTATGAAGAGATTTGTTCAAACGACTGATGTTTCCTTTAACCTCTTTTCTCCTGCCTCCCTTTTCGTTTTGGGTCCGCCCACACAGCAACAGAGCTCGGGCCGTCACACTCATCACTACAGCATCAGTGTCTATGAAGAGATTTGTTCAAAAGACTGTTTCCTTTGCATTCAAATATTAGATGTATTTATTTTACATTTCAGATATATATTATGTATTAACGATTCATGTTGATAGTAATTTACATAGAGAGAAAATAAAGAAATCAAATTCTGTTCTTAAGTTGTCTTGTCTTTCTCTTCATTTTTTTTTTTTTTTTAAATTATAAAATGAGATCAAACTTCTTGTCACATGCTGAAAGTGGGTCAAAGGGTGATTTTAAAAGAAGTTAGAAAGTACTTTATAAAATTTTAAATATTCATAGTTTATAATAAAATAGTAGTAAGCAAATCAGACACAGTGGAGCAGAAGTCCTGAAGATTTCAGGTGGAATGAGCCGATATTTTCATAAATGATCTGTTTGTAGCTACACTTTTGGTCGTCCTCGGGAGGAGTTATAGTTATATTTAGTCCGTTAAAAATATTAATTAAATGTCTACAAGGCAACGCTAACAAATAATGGATGGATGGATGGAGATATATATATATATATATATTATTAGAGATTTCTCTTGACTCGTTAACATAACAATGGTGAATGCTGACCACTATAGCCTCTCCGGCCAAAGAGACACAGTCAATGGAGTTTTGGTTTGCAATATTTATTCATCGCTTCATGTCCATGGTTGTTCTGAATAAATAAACAATAACCCAAACACAAAATTAGTGACTAATCAACAGAAGGAAATATAACTAAACATCAACCAGTAATTAAACTCCCCCAGAAATAAAGAAGAAATCATCTTACGGATTAGTCACACATGGATCTGTTGAAGAGGGATTCCCAGCTTGCTTCAAATGTATGGAGAGATGTTTGCAGCTCACCGACCAGCCTCAAATGCATGCAACCAGCTCTTCTTCTCTCACCTGTTTTCCGTTGGCAATCAAGGCAGGCTTTGAGGCACCAGCCCTTCAGTGGCACACCTGTCTTGCGTTAGGGAATCATGGGAGGCTTCAGGGCACAGGTGTCCACCAGAGGCAGCCATTTCCCCATTGCCAGCAGGGAATTTGTAACATATATATATATGTGTGTGTGTGTGTGTGTGTGTGTGTGTGTAGGTGTGTGTGTGTGTGTGTGTAGTCTTCTGCAGCAGAGTCCATTCTAAAAGAGGCCGATTTAACATAAAATAATTACAAAAAACATGTTTTGGTTTAAGTTTGTATCCTTGTTGTTGTCGAGTGTGTCCATTTGTGTTTTCTGCTCTAACTAATATGTGTAAAGCATTTTGATCTGCAGAAGTTTTGTTGCAGTTTGTTATTTTTCTTTTTTAAGTTTACCTCACTCTGGGATCATTTTTGACTGAAATATAAAGTCCTGCACCTCTATAGAAACAGCACAACCACGACTACAGCGAGAACAAAGTCATGTCTTTTGCACAAGATGACTCAGTGGGAATGACACAAAAAGTAAATAACGAAAGTAAAATTCTTTTGAAAAAGATAAAAAAACAAAAAGAAGAAATAACATGCACAACATTTGGAGTGACATAAATCAGAGAAAATTGAATTTATCTGAATATTTATTTCACAAAACGCTACAAAGAACCTGGAATCAGCATGAACAACATGAATTACAAAATAAATCTGAATAATCATAATGAACAGAAAATGAACTTATCCCACATTATTCCATCATTTCTTTTGGACTACATGTAAATTAATACTTTTTATTTCTGTGATTTGACTGGATGTTTCTTCTCATTTAGTAAAACACAGAAAATCTGTAAACCTACAATAAAACAAATGATTATCCATTTTGTATTTCTTAAATACATCATTTACTTTCATATAACAGCAAATATATGTAAAGCAAATGTATTTAACACAGTTTCAATGTGGACATTATTTACAGTTTTTGCCTGTGTTTTTGTTTCTGCTTCTTGTTCTATTTTTACACACAACATGTAAACAACAACACTTGTGTACAAACCTATTCATCATTTCTCAGTCCTCTGCAAAATAAAACTGTTGGTTTTCTGCTCATTCAGATACAGTAAAAGCTGTAATTTTATGGTCAGTTGTTGTAAAAGAACAAATTATTACTTTTAAAAACACAGATTTTTGCATTTCTACATTTTTTTTTACCTGTTTTAACTTTTTTGCTGCAAACAGTTAAAAAAAAAAAAAAAAAAGACTTAAAAACAAACCGTGGTGTTTTACAGTGTACGATGAGAATCACCTGCAAACTCAGACATCGTAACCAGCTGTTGTAGTGGCTACTCCTGAGCCTGTATAGCCACTGTGGTGGCTGTGCAGAAACAACTCGACACATCCAAAAAAAAAAAGGAACAGAAAACAGGGAAAACAATGTCCACAGCAAAAAATGTTTGAAAAAAAGGAGCTATTTATTGGAACATAAAATTTCTTTAAAGCTCAGAAACAAAAAGGCTTAGGATGTTACAGATAAACTCCGTGGATGTGAGTTGTGGTCAAAAGACTGTCTCTGTCCACACCTTCCCGGCAGTCTCCTATGCTTCTATCCCCATCCTTCTGCCACTAGATGGGGTTAAGTCAAGAAGAACAGAAATTAATAAAAAAGGAAAACATTCTGGTTTCTACAGCTGCTCTTTAAGACTTCAGCCTATTCAGGTTGAATGAACTCTAAAGTGGATCCATCACAAAGTCGAACTCCGGCGTGTAGCGGCTGAGTGAACGAGGTCTGGACTCTGTGGAGGAGAGTCACGGTGTCAGAGACGCTGTAGAAGGACAGAACACCTGCTCTGTGATCCAGGTACACTCCGATTCTGGAGGAGGGACGGCCTGAGACGGGAGTTACGGTGATGTTGTACCGAAATACACTTCTGCTGGCGTCACAACGTAAAGACCAGGATTTGTCATTGAATCCAAATTCACTTTCATATGGTCTCCCTGTTCTGCTGATGTTCTTGTATGAAACTGCGACATAAACTCTTCCTCTCCACTCCACCTCCCAGTAACAGCGTCCGGTCAGACTCTCTTTACTCAGGACCTGAATCCAGTTAGTGAATCTGTCTGGATGGTCAGGATAAGACTGTAGTTGAGTCACCGATGCCACTTTCCTGTTCCCATCAGATAATAACAGCTGTCTGTTGACTGTGTTTGGATCCAGAGTGATTTCTTTAAAATATTTGAAGAATCCAGCTCTGGTCGTTGGTTCTGGTTGTGGCAGTAAAACATCCACTTCAGTGATGGCCAGTGAGATGTTTGTCCGTGCGTCCCTCAGAACGTCCTGTAGTCGATCTCTGAGCTCTTCCACAGCTGCTGTCACGTCCTCAAAGTGTCTCCGAGGACGGATGCTGATGCTGGATGAGTGTGTGGACTCACTGAGTGCTGACGCTGAGGGGTAGTCGTGGAGGAACTGGCTGTGATCTGGTGTCTCTGAGAGCTGCTTCAGCTCAGCATCTTTCCTCTTCAGATCACTGATCTCCTGCTGCAGCTTCTCCTCCAGCTCTTGGACTCGACTCACTTCAGCCTCCTGCTGGGATCTGATCTGCTGCTTCACCTCAGAGCTTCTTTTCTGGATCAGACGGATCATCTGGCTGAACATCTCCTCACTGTGCTCCACTGTTTTATCAGCAGAGTCATTGATGGCCTTCACCTCCTGTTGAAGCAGCTTCACATCTTTCTCTCTGTCCTGGATCCTCTGATGGATGTTCAGTCGACTCTCCTCCAGTTTCCTCAGCTTCTGCTTCCTTTCTGCTGCAGCTGAGACTGTGTCGTGGCCTTTATGTTCATCCACAGAGCAGAGATAACAGATCAGCTGCTGATCAGTGCAACAGAAAATCTCCATGAACTTATCATGATGAGGGCAGATGTTCTCCTGGAGGTTCTTGGAGGGCTCCACCAGCTGGTGTTTCTTTAATGGAGCGACATCATAATGAGGCTGAAGGTGTTTCTCACAGTAAGAAGCCAGACAGACCAGACAGGACTTGACAGCCTTCCTCTTCCTCCCAGTGCAGACATCACAGGACACATCTTCAGCTCCAGCATAGCAGTGATCAGCAGCAGCAGCTTGGAGTCCAGTCTTCTTCAGATCCTCCACTAACTCTGCTAGCAGCACGTTTTTCTCCAGGACAGGCCTCGGTTTGAAAGTCTTCCTGCACTGAGGGCAGCTGTAGATTCTCTTACTGTCCTCTGCATCCCAGTGGCCTTTAATACAGTCCAGACAGTAGCTGTGTCCACAGTGAAGAGCCACCGGATCCTTCAGCAGATCCAGACAGATGGAACACGAAATGTTTTCTGAATAAAGATTAATTCCTCTCTGCGCCATTTTCTCGTCTGCGCAGCGACTGAGTGAGTTCCTGCTCTCAGGGAAGTGAAACTACACTGAGTGAAAGTCTGAGCCAGTCAGCTGTCTGTCGTCACCGCGTGTTCGTTCCATCCAGTTTCAAAGGTCTGAAGGGAGGAAACAAGTTGCAGAAAGAGAAGCGCTTTGAAGAACGGCAGTAAAACACTTTTGACCATGAATGTCTACCTGCCACAGGTAAACAGTGTCACTTCAATAGGCTAATATAAATATTTTTTGACACTGTCATTTGTGTGTCTTTGAGTTTTTCATGGTACATTAATATCTAAGTTGTTGACACAGTAGATTAATTTATTACTTTAGGACATAGACAGACAGATAGATAGATAGATAGATAGATAGATAGATAGATAGATAGATAGATAGATAGATAGATAGATAGATAGATAGATAGATAGATAGATAGATA